CAAAAATGGCGTAAGTCAATTTTTTGCTAGGTTAATTTAATATTATCAAATCATATTTCATTAAATAGTTTACTTATTGATTTTCTCCTATTATTTTAACTGAAAATTTGAAAGTTTGGTGTAAATTGTTATCCATACATCACTTACGTTATCAGTTCGTTCGTCGTCGTTCACCGTGTTAAGGTTCATACTACTATCGTCCCCATTGCATTACATTAAATATACCTAATTATACGACGCGAATTAAGATCTGTCGCATGTAAGAAACGTATCAAAGTCCAGAAAAATCGTCCGTCGATGCTCGAACCAGAAGTCAGTGAAATAAATCCAATAAAGAAGAAGAAAGTATATATACATAGAATAAATGGATACCCGTTTGCCTGCACGGGGGTTGGTCGTTTATCCAGCCAAACAATACCGTATCGTTTTGTGAACGGGCAACACCATCTACCATGTTGCTACTTTCATTTCCAGTAAATTATTCAGTGTTTTCAATATGAATAATTTGGTGAGCGACCACGATTCCGAGCGAACAGTTTCCGGCAGGACGAAGCGAGTCCGATAATGACGACCGTGACAAATCAGCGTCGATTAATCTCCGGGCGAGCACGTATAGCTGTATACGTAACTGTGGGGAACGTGCCCGTTTTGTTTATTAGGATCGGTAGACCAAGGGGGCCGTTTACAAGGTGTAACTATGTGGCCAGGTGGTCGATCGTGGAACTCGACCAATGAAAACCTTACGTCAGGAATGACCCCCAGCTGGGAATTCTCTGGCCGTCTTGCTTCTTCTTCTTCATCCTCTTTACTTTCTTTCTTTTTTTTATCTTCTCGCCTCCTACGGCGTTACCTCTTCATCTTCGCTCTTTTACACGCGGCGTGGTACCAACTGTGCGAACGCGCGCTCGCGCGCGCGCGCGATCGAGCGAGGCGTGTTTCGGGGGTGCCGGCGGATTCGGAGATAATTACACGATCGATATGCTAAATATCTCTCGCCTCAATCACGTAGATAAACGGGGGCGCATGGTAAATTGGATTAGCCGCGAGATTACCGGAACCAGCCGGGCCACCCTCGACACTGTTTGCTTTTACGGCACCGTGTTTTTGGCGGATGATCCACGAGAGATCCACCGATTTTGATCGATCGCTTTTTTTCCTTGACGCGTCAAGTAACGGTGTCGGTCGCATACGGATCTCACAGTAACTTTTGATACAATATATTCGAATAAACTGAATTTTACTGGGACGTTTAGAATGCGTTACTGTTAAAATACCACCCCACCATGATAAATTTTAGTTGTCACAATGTTGCGGTTTCTTCATGATCATACGCGTGAAAAATAGCTAACTGGATAAGAAGAATTATGGATACAATGTAACTGCTACACTTTTAGTGATATTTGGGTATTTGTTCACCAGAATTGTATTTTATGGTGTCAAACATTCTGGATGCTTGAATACTTAATACTAAACTTTCCGTGTTAAGTTAAGTTTCAAGGGTTATTCAATTTCGTATCGTTAATATTCGAAATAGTGTAGCTTTCTTAATTAAAGAATTCTATTCGACTTGGATAAATTGTATGAAATAAATCATATTTTTTTTATTCTTCATCGATGATGTAAAATTTTGAACAAATTACGCAAGGTGGAGCAAGAGTTTAGCTATCATTTACTTTTTCGTTCGTTCGAATATCTTGGATAGTTCTTGAGATAGTCATTTGTGAAGTTAAGGGTTGGTTTCTCTCCCACACTTAACGATAGAACTTACACTTAAACTAATAAGAGAAGAGTATTTTTTTTATCGAATCAATTGTAATGGTAATTATTGATACACTGAATATAGATACTACTCTCATGAATGATAAACAAAATATTAATAAAAAGTTTACCATGTACACATATCTGTAAAGTTTGCAAAATAGAAAGGTTGAATATTTACTGAGCAAATAATTAATTCAAGTGTAAAAACAGGATAAGTGAAGATTTCGAGAATTGTTTAAACCTTGTATCAAACAGTTAACAATATTTAAAAATGTATGCAAAATTTCAACCGTGGTTTCATAAACTTAATAAATAGGAAAGAAGTACCATTTTACTAAAAAGTAGACTTCTTAAATTTTCGCACCAAAGTCTTTCGATATATTTTCTGACGATCTCTATCGTGTTAATAAAATATATTTCAAACAGTATTCGAGAAATAGTAAATAGTCAATGTTATTTCAAATCGTACCAAGAAATTATGTTTAAATTAGTATAATATTTAGAGGATGTTAAAAATAAATACATTCATTACATTTTGATTAAATTTTACCCAGCACTGTTCACCACAGTAGTTCTCCAATAAATTGTTACACACTAAACTTGCAATAGCCCTTGCCTTCTTGTACTATTAAGTATTTGCACTATTTTTCAGCCTTTTTCTTAACTCATTCATCAGCCCTTGCACTATTTAATTTAAAGCCAGCTTACAATACTTTATTTATTGCTAATAATATACCATAAGAGGGAAGTATAAAATTCGGTTCAACCTGACCCGGCCAGCGGCCAAGGATCAAACACATTGTAGGGTTGATGGGCAGCGCATGCCAGCCATCTGCAACGAAACATCGACGAGCCGGTCGTGAATACTTAGCCCCGATAAAAGTGTACGAAAAATGGAATGGTAATATCGCGGAACGAGCACGGCAGATGAAAAATACGCGAGCGGTATGGGTACTGGTATGAAACGGACGCGTGAAAAATGGCCGGCGAGTTTTATCATGTGTCCACGTTGCACACCGACATTGGTTTTCGCGTTTCCACAGGCGCAGGCAGCGGCCTTATTCACATACGACGAATATAATAAATAACAATACGAGGCTGCCTACAGGTACCGGGCCCCGCATAGCTTCGCCCTATACCTGAACCGCCGCGGCGCGTCATTAAAATTATTTATGGGGAAATAAGAATCCGAAGCCTTTAAGTCCACCTCCGAGAGTTTGCAGGGATAACCCCGCGCCGTCTCTCCGCTGTGTATCTCTCGTATCCTCGATCCCCTTTAGTCCGAAACCGTCTGTCTGTCTGTCCGGGCTTATGGGTTAGTAGATTAAACTCACGCTCCTCGCATGTTCCACTGCATAAGTTTGCACGCGATTTATCCGACCGTGTTGGACACCCTTGCACTGTCCACGATCCACGCACGATGGACACACGCGTCCCATGGTCCACTGTTTCTGCTTCCGTTGCAGATTCTACGATTTTTTCAAAATTTCTTCAGCCGTTGTCGTTAATGTCCAAAATCTCCCACATTATCAGAGCCACTGAATCAATGAAACTGAAACTAGAATTTGCCGTAGGTATAAATCACCGTAGACTTTACCATAGATAATATTAGTTTAACTCTTTGGTGTTCTGAAAATCCTAGTAACATTCGATTTGTTCAATATATGTATTACAATCGAATCGAACTTTGAAAATTAGTTAAGACAACAACACTCAACATGTTGGACAATATTATTTGTAACTAACATTATAATTCCTAATTAACGTTATAAATAGTTTTGAGTGTTGTTGTTTTAACCAAATCTTGAAGTTTAATTTGATAATGTTAATTATAAATAGTATCGTAATAAATAATGTCGTATAGTAAGTCAGATTCGTAACGATGATTTTAGACAAAATCTCTCAACACTTTATTTACCAGAAGCTAATCAATAGGCTTTTTAAATGATTGACTTATGTCTGAAAGAAGTACGATAATTATTTTTTGAATAATTATTTCAAAGGAAGTTGTTGCATTATGTTGATCCACAAATAATTTGTTCGATTTTGGCTGAAATCACTGTCACTTCTGAACAATTTTTTAAGAAATTCCCGTCTGTTAATTGTTGACTTCGAAAGGATAAGTACAAAACTGCCGATTCTATAATAAAGTGTTAAGTCTTTTTCTTCCAGGAAATGTTATCTGAAGCGATAGCATTACGAGTGGATTAAAAAAGATAGTACTTAATTGCAGCTAAAACTTTAAAACAATACACATTCGATCTTTTAACCGTAAGAGGGTTAAATAAGGGTGGCGCACCTGCTGAAGCAATTATCCCAGAAGCTATCAATTTTAAGAAACTAATTATAATTTTTCGAACAACTTAGTTAATTGACAACAAAAATGTCTATGCACGTTTTTAAAATATAAAACATAAAATTTCTAATAAAATGTAGACTGAGTCAAAAAATACTACTACTATCACGATAACGATATCAAAGAAACTAAAACTAAGAATGGGTGACAAAAGACCCGAAGAACGCAGCAGGCTCAACAACTGCTCCGAAATGATTCTACACGTGCAACGCTCAAAGATAAGAATAAAAGGAAAAATCCATTTTTTCCAACTCCTTACAATAATAACTAAAAAACTTTCCTAAAAACAAGAAATTCTGCTAGACTCTGTCCGAAACCTTCGTCACGAATCTCTAACTCGATATCATAAAAAAAAGAAACGATTATCAGGATGGTCCACCCACCGATCACCCCGAAACCCAACAATTCCGGTGCAAACAAATTCTAGACACCCCAGCACCAGAAAAGAAAATTTCCCCTGCGAACGGTGTTGATTAAGTCTCGAGTAGCAGAAGACAGAAAGCGTAGTGGGGTAGTACTCTCACGATTTCATATTTCGAAAACGAAGTTCCAAACTCCGGGGAACATCTCATTGAAAGCTATCGGGACGTGTTGTACAATTACGCGGGGCTATCTCCGTCTAGGGAGAAAGATCTTCGAGAATGATCCTGACGCGAGAGGCGACCAATCGAGGCAGAGTGATGCTGTGTTCGGAGCGGGGACGATGGGCGCGCGCGCGCTCTCTGTCGCGTGGTAGCGCCACATTCGTCCCGATGGGCGGAGCCCCAGCCGGCCAATGGGAGCGAGCGCAACCGTGGCCCGGCCCGAATCGTTTCTGCCACGCCCACCGTACCGCCGCCGTTCTCGGTTCGTGTTCTCCGTGGATCGTGTCCGTGAGTGTACCCCGCACGGGAATTACGTTATTATACTGTCGAGCGCACCGAGTCTCGAGCCATGCTGCGCTCCTCGGGCGTAGCTATCGCTTGCTCGCTATCGCAAGCCCCGTGAATCCGTTTATCTTCCGCGCGGTTCGACGCGATGCGTTTGGGATTCCGGATTACGCTCCTGTGATCGATACTGCGAGGAATATCGCTGGCTGCTCGGCTACCGTCCTGCCGTTGCACCCCCAGGAACCATGAAGGTAAGTGCGGCCTCTTAATCGCTGCCATCAGCAGCTCAGTTTCTAAGCCTGTCGGCTGGCAAGGAGGCGACACGTTGCTTTGGGATAATTGATCTTAACGCGAGTTTTGAAAGCATTTTCTGTCCGTCAGAAAATGTAGATAATATCCTCTAGATAATATCCTCAATATCCTCAGAAGTTATAACAATATCCTCTAAAGTTATAGCTTGTGGGCATTGATAATAGCGTAATTTTTGGCAGCATTGTCTGACTGGCAGTCTGGTACAGTGAATTTTTAGGGTAAATTGTGGTTTATCATCCCCTAATGTTGTAGCTTCGAGTATCAGGCTCTAGAGTCTATTATTAATTGAGAAAATTAATAACAACTTGTAGAAATTAATAACCGTGCAATTCTTGATAGTATCTTTTGGTTGTCAATCGGATCTGATTAATTTTTCATACAGATTCCGATTAGAACATCCCCTCTAAAGTTGTAATGGTGTGCCCGGCTATCATTTTAGAGTCCTTTTATTGCAGCAATTTTCGATATCAAATCACTTTCTAACTGATCGAATATTTTATGCAGATTGTGATTACATCATCCCTCAAAATTACAGCCCCGAGTATCAGTCTCTGAAATCTGCTGGCGATTCAGTGGATGATAAGTTTGTCATAATAGATAATAACGCAATTGTCAGTAATATTTTCTAGCTATCAGTCTTACCTGGTCTGCAATAGGGTATACTATAGATTGAGATTTAACATCCCCTAAAATTGCAGCCCCGACTTTGGACTCATCGATATATGTATAGTAATTCAATTACTTATTAATGATATTTTCTGGATAGAAGTCGGACCAGGTGCCTGAAAACATTTTTAACTTCAGCAACCCAAAAAATTAAGGTCCTGGGCATCAACCTTTGGCTTCTATTGATACTGAATCGAATAAGTGAATGGAATCCTGTACAGTAATGCTGGCAATATATTTTGGTTAAAATTTTTATTATATATTTGTTATAAAATTTTCAATCGCGACGAAGTTCCTATTCCACTTCGGACTTCCGCAGCTTCCCGAAGTGTGCACACTTTACTTGCAACGAGGTCTACACTTGATCATCGTAGAAAACCTCAGGAGATACCAATGAGCTCGAAGATTCGCGACTCATTGCTTACAAATCTCTAGATAAGCAACCCAGGATGATGAATAGTTAGAAATGCGCAGTGTCATCCCCGTAATGTCCATAACAAGCCGCAAAACTTCGGTATTCTAATTTCCTTGACGGTTGCATGACCGAGACATACTTCGATTGGATTAGAAACTTCTGATTCGCCCTCCACTTAAGATTAGGAGACACACGAGGAGATTATCCTAACTTTTCCAGTGATGCTATACTGTTTCCATTAGACAGTTTGCTACTGTCAATGCCTTCGCTGTCTAGAAACCGGAACTTGGTCATTATTACTGCGAGAAACAATCGTTCTGCCTTAATTTTCATCCCTTGTCGACCTAAGCAATCTAATCTTTCGGTTCTCTTTTTTATTAGAGCACGAATTAATAACCAAGGAATTTCAAGAAATTTTCTGTGCAATATATCAACTCGAAAGTGGAACACACGAAAGAATCTCATATCAAATTTCAGTTAGAATTATTAAAATTATGAAGACACTTTTTCATGGGAAACGATTGGATAAATTACATTGTTGGAGCAACAATTATAATAAAAAGTGTACAAAATTCAAATAAATTGCATCTTCTCTTCACTGCTCGGTTTAGTGTTGAAGAAACTCAGTTAATGAGACTCAAACTACAGAGTTAAAATTTAACACGATCACCGAGAAGATCCAGAATGATGTCTAATAACTCAAAATTGCTACTAAAATATCCTATAGTTAATTAGGCAAAGAAATTTGGATAATAAGGCTCAATGTTACAATTTATCACAACGATATCTGCTAAACAAAACCAAGATAGTATCTTGGGATTCAAAATTGAGTCACAGTGATCTACAAAATTATCACAAAGATTTCTAAAAGACTGACAACAATTGCAGATCCAACAAACTCCAATAAAATTCGACTTACTCAAATCTGTTAACCCTTCCACTGATTAAATTACTCGAACTTACATTACATCCATAATGCAAATCATATGCAACGGTGTGAATAATTACAGGCTCAAAGTGATTTTCAGTGATACTTAAATAAAAACTTAATGAAGTATCATATTTGTGTATTTCTATATTAAAAATAATAGAGAATGAAAAGTTGCTTCTTTGTTCTTGTCTAAATGTCAGTGAACATGTAAAAGTCACTTTGAGTCTATAATTTTGTACACCATTGTAAATCTTGAAAAAGTATACAATGCTTAATTGGGTTACACATTGAATGGTTTAAAGCTTGATGGAATGAACTTTGAATGAAACGGATTAAATTATAACATACATACATTTCTAATAACTATAAACTGTATAATTATACGACCACGTACGATAAAACTGATAGTCGAACGACGAATGAAAGGAACGAAAGATTCAAATATTAAAATCCATAAAGCATGTTTCGAAGGCGGATTTTCGGATAGCACGGCTCCAAAAATATAACGGGTGATCGCATGCTCCACGATAAATGAACAAAGAATTTTCATAGCAAAGAAATGACATGATAGTCGACATACCAAGCCGGAAAAAAGTATCATAGAATCGTACTGTCAAATCCTCCCGGTAGCAAAGCAGAAGGGCCAATGGCACGGCGTGTCTGCTCGCAGCGAGATCCCTAGATCCGTCTCGGCCAGGCTTGATGAGGTTGATGAGCGTTGGTGGACAGGCCGCGTCTCCCTGCGGTGATATCGCTCTGCAAAAACGAGAAAGAACAGTGTGAACGGATGGCGGGGAATCCTCGATGCAGAAACGGATAAAGCGAAATGCATTATAAGGCGCGGTCGTCGGGATGCAGCTCCGCGAAATAGGGGTGGCGGATTACGCTCGATCGTTTCTCGCGATTGTCTTGTCGGGATGTCGATCGTGTGTCATTTCGACTAACCCTCTGTAGGCTAAATATCGCTGCAACAATCGGTATGTCCATCTCGGACCTCGATCTTCAATTATTCTTTTCGTTTAGGGGCAGTTATCTGAAATCATCTTCCACGAAGTTCGGATTCTAATTATCACTCGAATGGCGTACCTTCTTGATAAATATGTAACTGAATACCGAGTATGCTTAGGGCCATTTATACTTTTATTTAGCAATTTTTTTTCAATATGATTTTTTAACACTATTCTACCGAAGGTGTCACGAGACACCTTTCAATAGTTTCTGTTTAACGCTATTTTCTACCAAAGGGGTTAAAGGACATCTTTTAATCATTTTTAATAAACATTGTTTTCTATGTTTTATGTTTTCTATTTAATCGCTCCTCGACATTTGCTGTACTTATTGCAAAATTAATTCGGTAAATTGTATAATACAAAATATCCGTAAAAATAGTGTTAAGGTACTCCTTCTAGAGACGTTAGTTTTTTTTATAGAGAAACTGTCAGAAATTAAATAGTTAAAATAATAATATTTATACTCTGAGTCCAAGTGGATCCGAGCACCGCAGTTCGAGTTTGATCTTGATGTACAGCTCGATTTTGATACACTGTCTGAATTCAGACTGGCGATGTTGACGAAATAAGTTAGGTCTTTATCTGTGCGAACTTATTTTTTTTTGATTGATTGTGTAAATGTTGCTTTTGATATTATAGATAGACAATTTTGTTTCTAGACTGGTTTCATGATATTTGCGAGGTTATATTGCGGCGTAAACGAGAAATATTCTGGACTTAAGTTTGAAATGAAGAAGATATTCTTTGCTGATGAAATTATGGTAGATCGATAGAATAATTATTCTGCGTTTTATTCATTGAATCTTGTGCATTCAATTCCTTTATTCAAGCTCTAGATTGCAGAGAAACTGAAATATTTATTTATTCAGTCACTAAATGGTAGATGAATTTAAATATCTACTTTTTCAATCTCTAGATTACAGATATAATAATGAAACATTTATTTATTCGCAGTATAAATTGCAGATATACGTACAACATTTATCTTTTAAATGTTTAAATTGCAAATGTATGCAAAACATGTACTGCGTTTCAATTGTAAATACATGTAAAATATTTATCTCTTCAAGCTTTACATTGCAAATGCGTATAAAACGTTTACTTTTCCAATCATCAAATTGCAAATTCGTCTAACAACGAAATTTCGATTCGTCTAACTAATTTACCATTTCAATCTTTAAATTGCAAATACGTATGAGAACATTTACCTGTTCAATTTTTATATTGCGAATACATGTAAAATATTTACCTTTCCAATTTCTACATTGCAAACACATGTAAAATATTTACTTCTTCAATCATTAAATTGCAAATGCATCTAAAACATTTACCTTTACAATTTTTACATTGTAAGCACATGCAAAACGTTTACTTTCTCAATCTTTGAATTACAAATGTATATAACATATTTACTTTTTCAATCTTCGAATTGCAAGTGCATCTAAAACATTTACTTTCTCAATCTTTAAATTGTACATGCATTGGCAATGTAAAGATTGAAGAGGTAAATGTTTTACATTTGCAATTTAAAGATTGAAAAGGTAGCTACACACTGTTCAAAGAGGTCGCAACGGCCATCTGGTTAAGCTGTTGACGATGTCTTCGCTGCTTCAAAGCTTCTGCTTTGAATTTACCCAAACCGCGGTTAAAGAAATCGCCATAAACGTTCGCCATTAATTAGAAAGGGCAGCTCGCAGTGCTCCAGAGCAGTATTTTCCACAATCAAGCGTCCGATTCACCGAAACAAGTCCGCATCTCGCATGAACCACACGAGCCACTCTCGTCGCCTCTTTCGCTCGGTTCGGTCTGGGTTCTCTAAAAACGGTCGTATAACTCCGGATCAGGCTGATGCGGCATTTTGCGCCTTACGTCGACAATTTACTGGACCACACACGCACCGGACACCATCTCGGACAC